AAACTACTGTTATAACTGGATAAAAAAAGAAAAAGAAAAAGGAAACAACAAGAGATTACGATCAAGGTACATATAATTAATGATATATATACTCTCTCATATCGTATATATTAAAAAAAAGTTGTTCATGTAATAAATTGTAAATTTGAATCCGGTTATATATTACCTCGGTCCAAAAAATAGTTTACATTGAATTTTAAGATCTGTGTTATTTAGTATAAATTTAAAAACTCAATATGGACTTTTTTTTTGTGAAAGACGGAATAATGTAAAATTTACAATGAAACAAAAATTATTTTCGTCTCAAAATAATTATTTAATTTGAAGTTTTATTTTTAGTATAAATTATACCAAAAGTGATAATAAAAAAGGATAATTGCATTGGGAAAGGGAGAATTCTATCACTGAATTACACAGGCCCAATAGAAATACCTACCTATTGGTTTTGAAGTAGAGGTCCATATAAACCGCCCAAAAAATAAACACCGAATTAAGTTTGCAAATTGTGATTGAGTTGAATTCTGCTTTTAAGCTTAGATAACTCATTATAACCCCAGAGACCTTACCGGATTGCGGTACTAACTCGTACTCCGTCTCTCTCAGAAAAATTATTGTCTAATTTAGTGTTTTATTTTTAATATAAATTATATTGAAGGTGAAATCTCAAACTGGATAATAATTTTGGGACAGCAAGAAAACAATTTTTTTTTTTTGGGTTAAATAAGAGTACTAATAAAATTGGAAACAATCATAAGCTTTGAAGCTGTTCTAATTCTCCTCTCCCGCGGCCTCAAAATAGAGAGGTAAACTCCATTCTGTGAAACTAAGGACTTCGAATTTCTTCCATAGCATTAAGTTTTTTTTTTTTTTTTCTTTGCTGGATTTTTACAATGTTGGATGAAACCCGTTATCTTCTACTTTTTGTGTCCCGTGATTTTACGACATTGTTTGTCTTGTGTTGTACTTCCTCCGTCCTAAAATTATTGTCCAATTTGAGATTTCACTTTTAGTACAATTTGAACTAACAATGAAAATCCAAATTGAACAATAATTATGAGACGGAGGGAATAGTACTTAATATCTTTTTTTTAGTGTTGTTTGTTTAACTGTTTAGTTTCACAAATATTACTAGGACGGATGAAATTCTCTGAGTGTTATGAAGATACTTTGTACACATGCTTTAAAAACTGGATTGGTAGACAACATTGAAATCCTCATATATGTAATTGCAGTATTATTGGGCTTTATAATTTTATGTTGTGGAAGTACTACCTTTGAGGTAAGAAGAAGTACGGTTTGGGATAGAGCGACTTAAAATCAATTAGAAAATTTTATTCCAAAATTAATTGGACGAAATTCAAAGGGTCTGGCTGAGGTCGAAAAACAGAAGGCTGGTTTTGTCCGAATTCAGAATTCTGATTATCTAGTTTTTTTTTTATTTTTAAAAAAGGAATTAGTCCAATATGCATGTGATTTTTTTTGTTTTATTTTGGGAATATCTAAAACGATACAAAAGGTCTTCAGGAATTGCGAGTCTGTTTTGCATGACACATTTATATATTTTTGTGAAAAATACGAATGTTTAGCTATAACCTATAACTTGATGCAGGTTGGAGGATAGATTTATCAAGTTGAAGCAGGGATGAAGAAATTTTACAAGCAAAAGAAAAAGATTGAAAAAAGAAAACCAAAACCAAACACTAAAAGTAAAAGAAAATCAGCAAAATCAACTGCCACCCAAGATCCTCAAGGTTGGAATTCGAAAAACTTTATTATAATCGTTTCAAAATAATTGTCGTGTTTAATTTTCAGACATAAGATAACAATTTTCCACTTGTTTTTTTTTTGACTGATGATGCATCTCATTGTAACATTGTTCTGTTATTAAAACATATGTGTATCCAGATGATTTTGATGCAAATGAGAAGCTGTTAAGGGAATTCGACATGAATATGGCATATGGGCCGTGCGTCGGGGTTAGCAGACTGGAGAGATGGAAACGGGCTGAAGCATTTGGGTTGAATCCTCCCAAAGAGGTGCAGGATCTGCTCAAATTAGACTTGGTTCGAAAAGATTGCTTGTGGCCCCAAATCAAATAACTAAGTCCAGTTAATGATGTATGGAGCTATTTTTAGATATATATTCTCAAGATTTCGTAGTCACATCTTATAAAATATAATCGGAAAGAATACACATTCTTCTAGTATGTGATTCTTTTGTTTTTTTTTTTTTTGAGTTGAATACTATGTACTAAGTCTTTTTACAATTATTCAACAATTAATTTATGTGTTAAATATCTTTTTTACCTCTCATTAATTACATTGAAACTATAAACAAGATTAAATAAAAATAGATTAGCATCATTTATTGAGGGTAAAGTTAGAAAAATAGTCATTAATTTGTCTAGAATTTGTAAAACGACTTACATTTTAAAAAATCTCTCCAAACTTAGAACGACCTATATTTTGAAATGGAGGGAGTACTTAGGTTATTAAAGATGGACAGGTCCAACCGTCCAAGAGTTTAAAAATACTCTTACTTGTCCTAACCAAAAAAAAAAAAAAAGGGAAAAAATTAAAATGTTGGCTAATATTTGAGGTTCACATTTAAACTATACCATTATACCAAGATCAAGATGTAGGAGTGAGTATCACGTTATGACGACTCAAATCTTACTATATTAGAAACAAAAACCACACTTAAGAGAAAGCACCACCATTTGTCATGTGGCATTTCCACATCATATTTTTAAAATAAATTTTTATTTCCACATCTCCTAAACTTAAAAGGCAAATGCAGTCCAAATTTATTTCCACCTCCTATTTTCGTCAAAATAAACAAAAAAAAAAAAACCACGGATTCATAAAAAATCCAAATCCTCATCCCCATCACCACGACAATCGACTCCTTAATCAATCTCTTCTCCACAGTTAAAAAATAAATAAATTTCTCATCAATCATCAATTGAGAATATGTGGTGAAATATACTCTTTTCCTATTAGCATGTTCAATCTTTTCATTAGTGATGATCAACTATATCCTAATCGGATAAAATTTTAACTTCAAAAAATATTCTCTTTACTTCTCTATATAAACACAAAGGAAAAAAAAAATTCTCATTAATCTTACTTCGGCCGTTGTGATGGTGCCATTACAGGTATTAAAATTTAAATGATTTTATTTCCACAGATAATTGATTTGACTTTTATTATTTTTTTATTTTTTCCGTTCAAGAATAGTGTTATTACTATTATTTTTATGCGTCCATCTGTTACAGCTACCGGAGCCGTTGTCAGGTAGTATGACGTGATTTCTTATTTAATTAGTTAGTCTATAATTTTTGTATGATTTTAGTTATGTTTGGATTGAATTGATTGATTGGGTTTTTGTTACAAAGTGTGGTTTTTTAAATTTATTTTTTTATGTTTCATTCAATTAGAGTGGTTTTCTTTTTTTAATTATGGAGTCTCAGGTTTTTTTTCGTATATGGCCAGTTATGAAGTGTGTTTTTTCTTTGTTTAATTGCTTTTGATTTTGTTTCATACTCCCAGTTGACCAATTATTATTATTATTATTTTATTTGCAAATGAAGCACTTTTTTTTTGTGTTCGGGGTTTCAAGAATATACATTTTTGGATTTGGTTTTTGGACTTTTTTTAGTTACTCATCATATAAATAGTTCAAGTCGCTTCTTTTGACTAATTTATGGGGAAGCTTTTTATGAATTTGAGGTGGAGAAGGAAGGAATGATGTTTCTACGTTTATTTGTGTTTTTATACATCATTTTGACCTACAGAAAAAAAAAATCTCAAATTTTAATGGGCTATTTTTTACTTTTTTTTTTATTTGCCATGGTGAGGTGATTTCTTTTTTGCTATATCTTGAAACCTATGCAAATTTACATTATTTTCATTCTCATATTTGTGATCAACCAGTTTCAACAATTAATCAATATCAGAATCATATTTTTTATATTTTACTACCTATAAACTTTTGGAAGAAATAGTTCTAACAATTAAGCGTATACCCTTTGGAGGAATCTAACTACAATGTTATTATAAATCTCCAAAACTAAGTATTGATTTGGCACAACCAATGGAGAACATCAATAAATTATCTTACTAATATAAACTTATTAGGATGCTTTTATATTTTTTCTAGCATTTACTTCAAGACATATATTTGATCAAGTTTATTTATATTTAAGAATTAACACTTATAAAACATTTCTAAAATCTTCAAACATTTCTAAAACGTACCGGGCCAAATACAATTTATTTTTATGCCAAATACAAACATCACACTTATAAAACATTTCTAAAATTTTTCAAATATTTCTAAAATATATCGAGCCAAATACAAAATATATTTTTTTCAGATACAAACATTTCTAAGATCTACAGATATATTGGGCCAAAATCGCCCATTGCACGACCAGACATCACTAGTATATAAAAGATAACAAGCATCTTAAGTATCTTTTCAAATGATAAAAAGGATATTCCTGTTTCCACAACTAAGTTCTGAAGAATTATGATAAAGCAACAGCTGTTGTACAGATTAATGAATGTATAGAAGATTCAGATTTAGATGATGTAATAGATGGTTTCCCTTTTTAGCCTTCTATACAGAATTGTGTAATTACTTAGATAGGGACATAGTTGTAAATATAGAATGTAGATCAGTTTAATAGTCAACGGGTATATATATATTGTATAGTTGGTCAGATTAATTAGACTGGATTTTTGCAGAAATAATAGAGTTCATCATTTCCCCCCTTTTTCTCTCTGAGTTGAAACTTGAGACCCTAGCCCTGGCTTCCATCTCCCCTCTGTTTACCATCTCTTGAATAAGTTCTTTTTTGGTTTACACCAAAATCATTTTTAATTCTTCCTCTTTAACTTTTCGTCATTTGTTTGGCTTTAGTTTCCAATCAGTTACAGAAGAAACAAATGACTAGCAAAATCATTTAACTGGGAAAAAAAAAGGACAAGGCCCTGATGTTGGAACTCAAAGTTTTTGCAGCTTTTTTCATTCTCTTGTTTGGTAAAGATTACATTTTTGTGGCTGTGGAATCACAATCGATTCCGACAACTTTAGATGGCCCTTTTAAGCCCGTGACTAAAAAACTGGATCCATCTTTACGTTTAGGCAGTGATGATTTGCCTATGGATCATCCAAGACTCAAAAGGAATGTACCTGGAATGTTTCCAGAACAGATTTCTCTTGCTTTATCCACAACTCCATCTTCAATGTGGGTTTCTTGGATTACGGGTCCGTACTAAAATTTTTTTTTATGTGGTTTTTAATCCGAATACTCTGTTTTGAAAAATATTGGGATTTTTCTGTTTCTAACTGTATGATCAATTTCAGGGGATTCTCAGATTGGTTCCAATGTAACTGAACTTGATCCATCAACAGTGGGAAGTGAGGTTTGGTATGGGAAAGAGAGTGGGAAATACTCCATGAAAAAGACTGGGATTTCAGTGGTTTATAGTCAGTTGTATCCATTTGAAGGGCTCTGGAATTATACCTCGGGCATTATACATCATGTCAGGCTTGATGGTAAAAAGTTCCAGCTTATCCTTTTTTTTCATCTGCTGATTCATTTTCCATTTTGTCCCTTTAGAGTTTTCAGTTTGGTGAAATTTGTTCTTACCATAATCATCAACTGCTTTAGTAGTTTTGAGTTTTACTTAGAAATTAGAGATCATTGTAGTTTAGCTCTGTTTGGGAAGTGAACTTAAACTACATGATTTCCAATGTTTTTAGTGAAGATGTCACTGATTCAGTGCGTGCAATGCACTATCCAATGCTTGAAGTTGGAATGGTATAGTTCCAGAATTGGATTTTGTTTTAAAATTTGGATAACCTCTTTGTACAGAAACACTTTGTTTAGAAGAAGAAATATGCTATGTAGACTTAGCTTCTTTCTCCTGTGGTGATAGTTCCTTATCATCCATGAGTGTGGAGCTCGTGTTTGAGACCTTACCCTTGCCAAGCCCCGAAAATTATCCTGCCCGAATAGCGATTGTTGGAGATTTGGGGCTTACAAGTAATACATCAGCAACTGTTGATCATCTTACACAAAATGATCCCTCAATCTTGTTAATGATTGGAGACTTAACTTATGCTAACCAGTATCTTACAACCGGGGGTAAGGGCGCTTCGTGCTTTTCCTGCGCTTTTCCTGATGCACCTATAAGAGAGACTTATCAACCTCGTTGGGACGGATGGGGAAGGTAATTTGATTTGATTCCTAAACGCCTTTTTTTCATTTTTTTTTATTTTATTTTTTTGTGGTTCTTGTAGCATGCAAAGTACATGCAATGTAGGTTAGTCTTAGATTGATGATAAATCTTAGGAATTTTCCTTGTTTACTGTTGTTCATTAAGGTACTTAAAATGGTCAGGTTTATGGAGCCCCTAACGTCTAGTGTTCCAATGATGGTTATTGAAGGAAATCATGAGATTGAGCCTCAAGCTGAGGGAGTAACCTTCAAGTCATATCTAACAAGATTCTCTGTTCCCGCTGAAGAATCAGGCTCCAATAGCAATTTTTACTATTCTTTTGATGCTGGAGGAATACATTTCCTCATGTTAGGAGCATATACTGACTACAATAAGACTGGTAATTGTCACAGTTAATAACTTATGACCTTTTTATCTAATCTCCTTCCCAAAGTAAGTGTCATGTTAACAACAATATCATAGCTGACAAGTGACGTGTTCTGCATCAATGTATGTGGTTAATTAGGTGCTCAGTTTGGTTGGCTCCAATCTGATCTGCAGAGCATAAATCGAAGCATTACGCCTTGGGTTGTTGCTGCCTGGCATCCTCCATGGTATAATAGCTATTCATCACACTATCAAGAATTTGAATGCATGAGGCTGCAAATGGAAGAACTTCTTTATCAATACGGCATAGACATTGTCTTCTCGGGTCATGTAAGCCGAAGAACTTTTAACTTACAGCATTTATAGTAAAAGAGTGACAACCATTTTGATGTAAATGTAGCTTAGTGTTTAATTATGAAGTAGCAGTGAAAAGGGTGATTTGCGTAAAATTTTTGTTCTACCTCAACGGAAAACACTAACGTTTTTTAGGTACACGCCTATGAGAGGATGAATCGTGTTTACAACTATACGTTGGATCCATGTGGCCCCGTGTACATAACAGTAGGAGATGGCGGCAACATTGAGAAAGTCGATGTGCATCATGCTGATGATCCTGGGAAATGCCCTTCACCTAGAGACAATGTGCCTGAATTCGGAGGAGTTTGTCACATGAATTTCTCCTCTGGACCTGCAAAAGGAAGGTTTTGCTGGGATAGTCAACCAGAATGGAGTGCATATCGGGAAAGCAGCTTTGGACATGGAATCCTTGAGGTAAAATCAGTCACACACACACATCCGCTCAAATTAATTCTCACTCGACTCTGGTCATTGTCTGTAGGGTCAAAATCTCTCGGACCTTGTTGTCTCTAGTTTTGATATTCGAACTAACGATGCCATTTTTTACAGCTTTATGTTAATTTCCTGATTTCCTCCCTCAGGTTGAGAATGCAACCCATGCATTATGGACATGGCATAGAAATCAGGAAGCTTATGGGGAAAATAATCCGGGTGATCAAATTTACATTGTTCGACAACCTCAGCTGTGCCATGCTACTTCAAAGGTGATAATTGGAGCTACATGTGTTTGAAAAATGCTTATTCTTTCCGTTTCAAAAATAATGATCTTTAAATTTTTATTTTTAATACGATAAAGGGGTGATTGCATTAAGGCTTCAAGAAGGGTCTTACTCAATTCTAGGGTGGATCATAGAATTCACAAAAATAAGGATCACTACTCTTTTGTAGAGTATTTAAGTTGAATTTTATATTGAATATCTATATAGGCATAATGTTTACTCCTTCCCCTCAAAATGATTGTAATGCGATGCATTATATCAAAGTACTAATTCATTGGATAGAACAAGATGTTCTTCGTATCTCTTATACTGTCCTTTATTTTATTTTTTTCATTGTAGCAAAAAAAATCAATTCATTAATTTTCTGATTATTTTCTGATCATTTAGCCTTAAATAATATTTTTTTTTAAAAAATTTTTATTTTTCTATAATATTGCAGGATGCCAAAATTACTCCATCATTTGCTCCAACTGATTCCGCGTCACTATATGGAGTCTCTTTCTTCAACGGCTTCATTTCTATTTTGTTATCCTTCATTTGTTTTGATCTTTCAATGGTTTTCGCATATTAGAGAAATCAATGTTTCTTAATTCTTATTAGATACTCCCTCCTGTTTTTATTATAAGCTATTTTGATTTGTCATAAATTTCACCTCGTATGTTTTTACAATTGATGAGAAAATCTTAAAAATATTTTCTAATAATTAGAAGAATACAATGAATGTAAACATGTATTTTTAAGATTTTTTTTTTTCAATTGTAAAAACATACTAGATGAATTTCACCTAAGACAAATCAAAAAATTTATAATAAGGACCGGAGGAGGATTACGTTACAAACGTGTTCATCTTCTTCTGTCTGTGTGTGTGTGATTTCAAGATGGAAAATGTTTAATTATGAAGTTGTTTCATCTGTTTCCATAAATTTGAATAAATTAAAAATTTTAATTTATATCTTACAAATAAGACTGAAAAGAATTGTGGTCGAACTTTGATAATTTGACTCCAAAATCAATTCTACTGGTAACAACTTTGGTGAACAAAATGAGTGCTATATATATATACACAAAATTGTTAATGCCATTTCCAAAAGGAAAAATACAATAAAATCCAGAGTGTTTATGTGCTTGATATTTTTTTTTCTACAATTCCTCCCCAACTGTATATCAATAGTTCATTAAAGTGGCTTATTGAAAGACCTCATTAAAAATATCTCCTTTTTTTTTTCAAATTTTGGAGATAAAATCATTATTACAAAATTGAAGAAAAGTACACAGATATAGAATTTTGTTCCATGAAAGGGACGTATTCGATTTGAATCCGAATTAAATTAATAGAGGGTGAGATCAAGAAATTGTACAAAAAAATAAAATAAAATAAAATAAAATATCAAAGAAAAGTGTCAAAAGTTGAAAAACCAGATGTCCATTTCTTCTTGAAGCCACCTTCAAAAAAAAGTTTCTTACTTCCACGTCACACGCATTTCCAATTTCCTGAGTTTCCCCCAATTCTACCTTAAATTCCTCACTCTCTAGTGAGTCCAACACATCTCACACACACTTTTGATTTTTTTCGCTCACTCCAAAAACACTCTCCACCGATTTTTCACAACCCAGAGAAAGAGAAACCAAACCAGCCCTTTTGAAAGAAAAATCAAAATAAAAAAAAGGGGTTTAATTAATCAAAGATGCAATACAAGAACTTGGGCAGATCGGGATTGAAAGTATCCCAGCTTTCATACGGGGCATGGGTTACATTTGGGAATCAGCTTGATGTCAAAGAAGCCAAGAATCTGCTCCAGTGTTGCAGGGATCACGGGGTGAATTTCTTCGATAATGCAGAGGTTTATGCCAATGGCAGAGCTGAGGAAATCATGGGACAAGCCATCAGGGAGCTTGGGTGGAAGAGAAGTGATGTGGTCATTTCCACAAAGATCTTCTGGGGCGGGTCGGGTCCCAATGATAAAGGGTTGTCCAGGAAGCATATCATTGAAGGGACTAAAGCTTCATTGAAGAGATTGGATATGGATTATGTCGATGTGATTTATTGCCACAGGCCTGATGTGAATACTCCGATTGAAGAAACTGTGAGGGCTATGAACTATGTCATTGATAAGGGCTGGGCTTATTATTGGGGGACAAGTGAATGGTCCGCTCAGCAGATCACTGAGGCTTGGTCGGTTGCTCAAAGGTTGGATCTTGTGGGTCCCATCGTTGAACAGCCTGAATATAACTTGCTCTCCAGGCATAAGGTAAAAAAAAATAAAAAATTATCTAGTTACAGTAACTTTTTTGTTTGTGTGCATTTGAACTGTGTATGTTGGATTTGATGTAAAGATCCTTTCTTGATATGTTGTTCAAAAGGCTTTGATGATATGTTGTTTTTGGATGATTGAAATCTTGAGATTTGTTTTTATAGTTGGCCTGTTTTGCTTAAAACAAGCTTTTGAATGTTTACTTGATGAGTGTGAGATTGAATGCAGTGGCCTTGTATTGAATGTTCATGACCCATGATACGTTGTTGGAAACGTAAAAATAGTTAAAAGAAGGATCATAAATAACAGTCAGGACAAAGCAGATGGGAGTTTGATTGGGATGGACCATGGATATGTCTCGTATTGTTTGTTGCTGATCTGGAAGGTTGTACTCTGTTAGTCTGTTCTGTGTTATAGTAAATTTGTTTTTATGGGGATTCAAGTACCACTTATCAGGCGCGGCCCATGTTTTTAAGATATCTATGTACGTAAAGAACTTATGAATTTGAATTTTTTCAGTTCAAGCGTCGGAAAACTGTCATACAGAAAGGTTATATTAGAAATAGTGCTGGGGTTTTCTTCTTACCTTAGACTTTTATTGGTATTTTGCATTATTGCAGGTTGAGTCTGAGTACCTTCCTCTGTACAATAACTATGGGATCGGTCTTACCACGTGGAGTCCACTTGCTTCTGGTGTGTTAAGTGGAAAATACAGCTTGGGCTCTCCTCCTCCTTCTGATACCCGGTTTGCATTGGATAACTACAAGGTAATAACTTGTTGAAAGTTTGTTGTCATAAGAACACTTGAAGCCTTTCATGTTTAATCACAGTTCATTTTTTCAAGAAAGTAAAGTGAAAGCCCTAATTAAGGAAAAAGAAGACATCTCTCTTTAGTTCTTTGTCATTAAGAAAAAAGCTACTTTACTTTTAGGCTTGAACTGGTTATACAAATCCTAAACAATTATATGGTCCTTTAACATCAAGTTATTGTACTTTCTTATTAATACGTTAACATGTCCTGCATCATCTCGGTTACAAGTCATCCAAATAGTCACATTCTCTTAGGAGATCAAGTTTACCTTTCCTTGCCATATTTTCAGTTCCTCTTTATTGTCATTTGATCAGATGTCATTGGCAATAGGTTAGTTTATTTACTGTTTCTGAAATTATCTGACTATGCAAAAAGTTCATTTAGAATTCATTTGTATTTGCTTCAACATCTTTTATATTATCTTCTTGGATTCTGAATATTATTACTGCATTGCATTATAACTGATTGGTACAGCAAAACTGTGCTTAACATATATCTGATATATGGATAGGGCCTTAGTTCTGAGAGGGACTAATAAATAGCCTAACTTATGGGTTTTCATTAGTATATTTTGGACTTTTGGAGTAGAGTTAATCTTTAATGAAAGACTAAATGACTGTTCTGGTAAGTATTGGGAGTAGCTAGGGGTTTTTTTCTGCCTTTTGATTCCCTGTTTATCATTTTCTAAAAGTCAGCCATAATTTTGTCTTCAGCTTTTGTTTAGTAGTATTATGTTATGGCCCATTGCTTTAATTAACATGTGATTTTATGTCTGCAGAATCTGGCAAACAGATCTCTGGTGGAAGATGTATTAAGGAAGGTGGACGGATTGAGACCTATAGCGAAGGAGTTGGATGTCTCTTTGCCTCAACTTGCTATTGCTTGGTGTGCTGCAAATCCTAATGTTTCTTCTGTTATTACTGGAGCTACCAAAGAGTCTCAGGTCAGTTTGATTTTGGTGCTGCGCATCTCTTGCACTTCCCATCATGTACTCTTTGCTTCTGTCGGCTCCTTCGTCCTTTATATTCATGATATAGTTTATTTTCCTAAGATTAATCATCTATGCCAAAACATGGATTTATCAATTTGTCAATCTCTTTCGCTGATCCCTATATCATTCAATTGTACTGGTTCCCACCTTGTGTAATAATGGTTCCTTATTTAGGCTTTGCTACATGTACATTAGACATATCACATTCTAATGTAACTGTAACCAATTTCTGTCGTGATGATCTTTTTTATGCACTTAGCTAGAACAGATGAATGTGGCAGTTTGATGATAAATGTTACATGTTGGATAACAATATTCAGAAGACTTAACTAGATGATGAGTATCTTTGAAAATCGTAGCAAACTTCCGCCCATTTTAAACATCAAGATCTCTATTGTGATACAATTATGCCAAAACTCAATATGCTTTTAAAAGGGAGAATCTGATAACAAGTTTAGATGGTATTGCGATTCTTAATTAATAGAGTTTCTTTAGATGTCTCCTTACATCTCCTTATATCTTTTTCATGTCTTGTTGGATTACCGGTAATTGATTTCTTTCTATTAAGATGTAGATCTTTCTGTGCTACAAAATCAGAATTGTGTGTGGCTTGCACATGTTTTTGCCTTTTCTAATGTTGATAAATAATTATCCAAATGTCACATAATATTCAATGGGTATCACCCTCTGTGAAATTGGGTTCTAGTGTTCACTGTGCAATTATGGTTTTGCACTTCAGATTAAAGAGAACATGAAGGCTATTGAAGTCATTCCAAAGCTGACATCTGCAGTGATGGAAAAGATAGAAGCTGTCGTTCAAACCAAACCAAAGCGTCCCGATTCTTACAGGTAGACAAGTTGAAGGACCAAAGGGTGTTAGTATCGATCTTTTAAAGCGACTTGCCAGCCATTTTCTTTTCTTTGCCCGTCACAATGATGCTATTCAGAAGGATTCTGTATGCTGTTTATCAAGTAGGCTGTGCATATCATTTTCAGTATTATTATTGTTGGATGTTTCTTCATTCATGTGTTTGTTTTATAAAGCCTAGACTCGTCATGAACTTTCAGGGTGTGCTGTTTGGTTATTGTATTCGACTCATTTGATTTCTGTGTGTAAGTGCGATGTGGGCGCCCTTCTGTTTCGTTGACGTGTATTTAAGTTTGTTTGGGGGTGGGCTATGTTGTGAGCTTGCTGCAGTTCTTGCTAAAATAAATTGACTTGTTTTAGGCTCTAGCATTCAAGTTTGCTGCAGTTCTTCCGTCATCCCTTTTACCCTATTAAAGCAGAATACAGGATGTTGATGTGGTAACTTCTTATTAAAAATTTTTGGCTCCAAATGCACCATATTACATTAACCATTTTGACACGTGTCATCCCTTTTTAAAAGAAAAAAAAAATTCTTATCCAGAAAAACAAAAGCTATTTTACAAAAATAACTACACAATTTTAACTCCTAACATTTATCATTTATCAATCAAATTAAAATAGTATTTAAATTTGTTCATAAACTTATCCTCTTTATTAGTCCATATTCTTTTGTATGATTTTTGAATCGTTGTACTTTTTAATATTTTTGCTCCTTTGGCAGATGATTTTTTTATTTTTATAATTATTTTTTGCTAAAAAGGAAAAAAAAAAACAAATGTGTAGCTATTTTATTTTTTCCAAATCAAGAATTCATTTATCTATTTTTTTAACATAAAATTAAAGTAGAGGGGCAAGCATCTAGTATCAAATTACTGCAAGAACAAACTAATAGAACCTCCTGGGAAAATTTGAAGTAAAACATGGCCTTTGTTTGAATGAATTATTGGCTGCTGTGGTGTCAAAATGTTACTGTCCAAGGCTGCGGTTAGAATACAACAAGGCAATAGCAGTCATATTGGTGCTTTGATCATAGAAACTTTCTCTTTCTCACCTTGATCTGCTTCAGTTGTCCACTTCGGCCTAATTATTAAGCTAACGAGTTATGCAAGAGTCTGTTGCAAGTAAAACCCTCGTAAGTCCCAAAATGTGCTCAAATGAGAGACTAATTAGTAGACCACCTTAGGGCTTAGGTTCCTTTTCCAACATTAGTATTTGATGTCTTTAGGAAAAGGAACCATTCTACAGACCTGCATGAACCATTCTACTGTTTTACCATATTTTTCGAACACATTAACTTGATAGACCTTAGCCCTTCATTCCTAAGGCGGAAAAGATAATTTTTCTTCTTGAACACATAAACTCTTTGCTTCCAAGTTGGCGCGAATCGTTCACCTTCTCCATTGTGCCACTCTTACTTCCTCGTTATGTGATGATCAAATCTTAATTTATGCTCTAATTCCAAATCGAAAATTTGTTACTCTAGAATATAACAAGTTACACTTATTTACAGGCTACAACTTGAATCAATAGCGTTTCGAATCATTTTCAACCCTATTAAAATAAATGTTAGTGAACAGAAAAAAAGTCATAAAGTAGTAAACATTCTTCTTGCTTAGCCCTGCGGGTAATATAGTTAAGAGTTAGTTTGGATAAAATTAGTTGACAGTTAAAAGTGACCCCACCCCAATTAGTGGGGCCCAACACATAATATTGGCGCGCTAAATTAACAACAAAAGATTAAAAGAAGAGTGCTTTCCCACTTCCTTCCTTAATTTTCCATTTTTCAGTTTTTTTATTTTCATTGTTTTTTTCTTCCGAGACCCATGCAACGCCTCTCCCCTCCCTCTCTCCTCCTTTTCTCTTCTGCCTCACGATTACTCAAAAACAATTGAAAACGAATCCCAGAAACTTTCTTCAATGATTCTTCGTTCAATTTCAGGGGAACCCAGTTCATCTCGTTGATTATTATTTCTGATCCTTCATGATTTTTCCCGATATCCCACCCTGAAAAGCTGCTCATCAATGTTCCATATAATTCAGTTATCAACAACATACCGGTAAATTCTATCACATTTTGGGATAATTACATGTACAAATTGTTCATTGATTATGTTGATGAAATGGGACGAAATTAATTTCTGTTCTGTGCATTTTTTTTTTTTGGGTGGGATTTTTGTGATATCTGCATATTTTTTTGTTGATATAATGCTAGCTTGTTTTCATCGTGTAATGCCTTTTCTCTTGGCCCTTTTTTTTTTTATTTTTTTCTTAGTTTATGCAGTTGGGAATTGGAACATTGAGTGGAAAGCGGGATTTTGCGGAACAAGGGGGATTCAGGGGAATTTTGAGTTCTTCGGTTTCAGGCGTTACTGTTGTTAGCTCAAGAATTAGGAGCGTTTGTTGTATATAAGAGAATTTGGGGGCTAATAGGGAGAGGGAGAAAGTTGCAGAATCCTTAAGATTTTAGCTCGTATATACTGATTTTTATGTAGAATAATCTTCATCTTAAGGTTTCCTGAAGATCTTAGGAATTAGGGGTGGCATGAATACTTGTGGATTTTAAGGATTAAGATACATAATACATTAAAGCCGAGTACTTGGATATTTTCTGGGATCATGAGGGGTGAAACTCATGGCAATTCAGGGGAGCAGTCTAGTAGTTTTCCAGTTAATGTTGTTCCTTGTGATGAGTCCAGTGGACGTAATGGTAAACTGAACATTTCTTTTCAAACGGGTGAGGAATTTTCCGAAGAGTTTCTTAGGGAACGTCGTACTCCTAAAAAACCACTTGTCACAGATGATGCATTTCAGCAACAAGCAAGTAGGAATGGAGCAAATGTTGGTCAGAATCGTCCGCTTGTGTATGAGGATCTTACTGGCCTTCTTGGAATCAAGAGAAGAGACTCCGAGAGTGGTACAGAAACATCTGAGTTTTCGGCTGGGGAAGGATATGGATTGGATGGAGAGAACCATGAAAGGTATGATAGTGCCAATAGATACCGTAGGGAATATGCAGCTAGTGGCCTGCAAAAATCAAAGTTTTCTGATGGGGGTAGTGGCGGAAGGGGTGTTTCAGGTCATGCATCAGATTCCCCCAATGCATACCAACCTTATAATCGCGGCTTAGGGTTTACAGATGGTTCTTCCTCTGGTAAAATGAAGTTCCTTTGTAGCTTTGGAGGAAGAATTTTGCCTAGGCCAAATGATGGGAAGCTTAGGTATGTAGGTGGGGAAACACGAATCATGTCAATCAGAAAAAGTTTAACTTACAGTGAAGTTGTCAAGAAGACTACTACAATCTGCAATCAACCTCATACAATTAAGTACCAGCTACCTGGCGAGGACCTTGACGCATTGATATCTGTCTCTTGTGATGAGGATCTTCATCATATGATAGAGGAATATCATGATTTGGAAAGAAGTTCTCAGAGATTGCGGATATTTCTTGTGTCTTTAAATGATCCAGATAGCCCATGCTCTTTGGAAGGAAGATCTGTGCCACAGACAGATGCTGACTATCATTATGTTGTTGCTGTTAATGGCATGTTAGATCCAAGTCCTCGGAGGAGTTCCAGCAGGGAGAGTCTAGGAAGTCAGATAGCAAACGCGATGGAAGGTAGTCCTACTGTTCAACGTGAATCTCCTACATCCTTTCATCCCCTGGAAGTCCAGGATGGAGGCACTTCCTTGAACAAAATGAGCCATCCAAGCACCATTACTCAGGTTTTCAGTCCCTCTCCACATTACACTTCTAAGGCATATTTTGCTCCACCAATGTTCCCATTACCAGTGCAACATAAAGAATCGAAGAACTCCCATGTAAAGTTCTATGAAGATATTACTCGTGCTGAAGGTCATGAATTCAGAAGTCCAAATGCTATGGACCATAAAGTATATGACACTTATCATATTAATACCTCCAGCTACTACCATGATCCACAGCAAGATAGTGTGCCAGTCAAACGAAGCTACCCCGCAATCAGCCATTATATGGAATCCAATCAGGTTGCTCAACTGCATCCTCAGTTTCACAGCCGTGCTAACGATTTTTTAGCTTTTCCATCTTTTAGTAAAGTTGAAGCTGATACAAAAAGGGATGTGTCATCTGACATGAATTTGCAATCTGAAAATTTTCACATTTCTGAAGACTCACTAGTTCAGTTCCCTGGAAATTCAGTCTTAATAAATCCTGCCAGCCGAATGGTACGTGAATTATCTCAGCCTCAGTTATTTAGAGATGGAGGTACGAGTGTCCCTCTTGAGGATATGAGCACATTCAGATCAAAATTTGTGATGGAAAAATCACCTTCCTTTTCTGGGTCTTCACAAAGGACAGATCAACAGCTTGAGAATGCAGAAAAGTGCCACTCTGACTCTGCGAGAAATGAGCACATCTGGAACATGGGAGGGTTTGAAGGCGAAAAAAATTGGATGCACACAGACACATCTTTGGACCAATGTAGAAATGCATCAAATGCTACTTCTATGGCAGATAGAAGTAACTTACCCACGACCGTGCAACAATTTGGTGAAATGGTCATTGACCGAAGCGTACAAACAGAGGGAAAAAGCCTGAGGAGCAAAAATTCTACATCAACATTGTCTTCACCAGGTAGAACCGGAGAAGCCTGGAGAGGACCACAAAGAGATGGTCAATCAAGGCCTGATGAATCCGACTTGATTATCAAAAGCCAGAAAGAAAGCATGGATCGGGATCATAGAGGGACTGTTGTATTCAGCAGTAGAGCCATTGACAGATCCCATGGACGTCAGACTGCTACAAATCAAGGAATCGATGAATTAGCAGGAACGTCTATTGCACCTTTTAACTTGAATTATCCTCCGAATAATGATATTATGTTTGCTACCTCAGTAGATAGCAGTAGATCAATGACTGTGGATCCTCTCCATCAGGGAACAGCGAATGATTATCACTGGACGACAGGAAAAATTTCTCGCGAGAGTGAGGAAAAAGAGAATATCAATAATGATTCCTCAGAGAAATCATCTTTTCAGGATCAGATGTCTGCTTCTGATCATTCAACTAAGGAGTACATTTCTAACATACCAGAAACCACTGTCATTGTTGAAGATGTGACTGATTCCATTCCCTCAGATATTCCATCTTCTCGAGCAGTTATCCCTCTCATTCAAGATGAGCCAAGTGATGGGATTATGTCCACCGAAGAAGAGACAGAGACTGAATCTGTGGCTCTCGAGTCTGAACATGAGGTTTATTTTCATTTTTTTTTCTTTTTCTCCTGTGTCCAACGTGTTGGTTTCAAGAATTTTGACATTATGATATGCATTCTGTAGGAAGGGAATGCTGATGATGATGGTAAAAATGACTCCATTGGAGATTCTGTTATGTTTGAAATGGAAGCTGGGATCTACGGTTTACAGGTTTGAAATGATTCTTACTTTTAGATGAAAATGAAAGTCCGTAACTATTTACATTAGAGTTCTTTCTTTCTCTTCTATACGCCTTTCCTGGATTGACATTCTTTCTTTTGCTTATACTGAGAGCTATTCGTCTTTGACATCTATTGTGCTAGCTTAAGATGATTCTTGATGGATACTTTTGTCTCCTCCTCTAAGTGCAAGTAAGTTAACTTTAACTTTTCATATACTATTCGCAGATCATTAAATATGGCGATCTTGAGGAGCTGCAAGAGTTAGGATCAGGAACATATGGAACTGTGTACCATGGGAAGTGGAGGGGAACCGATGTAGCTATAAAGAGAATTAAAAAGAGTTGTTTTGCTGGGAGACATTCAGAGCAAGACCGACTGGTTGGTTTCTTTATCTGTATATAACATGAACAAATTATATCCTTTCTGAGCATAAGTATCAATACTTGATAACTCCTAAGTTTCAGAAATTTTCTTTGGTGGATAAGAAAGAAATATCTGCGGGAGGTTAAAGAGTTTTGCAGCATCACAAAATCTCAAGAATCAAATAAATGTGCGAGATTCTAAGTTAAGTTTCTGTGTACAGGCTAAAGATTTCTGGAGAGAGGCTCAGATTCTCTCTAAACTTCATCATCCAAATGTTGTGGCATTCTATGGCGTAGTACCTGATGGGCCTGGGGGAACATTAGCAACCGTTACTGAATACATGGTTGATGGATCATTAAGACATGTCCTCTTAAGGAAGGGGTGAGTTTTCGTGGTATTTTTTCGCTATCATTTATAAATTCCTCAATTAAGAAACTAATGTCGATTAGCTTACAGGGCACTTGACAGACGCAAGAAACTTATGATAGCACTAGATGCTGCGTTCGGTATGGAGTATTTGCACTTGAAAAATGTTGTTCATTTTGATTTGAAATGCGACAACTTGCTGGTAAACTTGGGAGATCCTCAAAGACCTGTGTGCAAGGTAATCCCTATACTTCATAGAGAGTCTGACAAACTCCGATTGCAGAAAATATCTCTTCCTATTGGTTAATTGCAGAACCTCAAACTAAACTTCCAGATTATGTATATTGAACTAGCTCCGAAAATATGGCTTTATATGCTTGACTGTATTTTTCAAATGTGGTAACAAAGTGATGCACTTCAGGTTGGTGATTTTGGACTGTCAAGAATAAAACGGAACACACTTGTTTCTGGCGGTGTCCGAGGAACACTTCCGTGGATGGCCCCTGAGCTTCTGCACGGAAGCAGTAATCGAGTCTCTGAAAAAGTTAGTTACTAATTTCCAGAGTATTATAATTATAAGGATCAATGATCTCGTTGATGTGATTAGCAGGATGCCCGGGTTTACTTATTGTGCATCTCTCTTATTTGACTTCATTTTTATTCTTTTATTTTCCTTTTGATAGGTGGATGTATTTTCATTTGGAATCACAATGTGGGAGATGCTGACAGGAGAAGAGCCTTATGCAAATTTGCATTGTGGTGCTATCATAGGTAAGTTTTGTACCTAATTTGAAAGTTTGTAACCATAGAAATCAACTGGCTGTGTACAGTCTGTTTGACGGTTTGTTAAGCTTGAAAGAAAACCAGCATTTCAATTTAGTAGATCAGTATTGCTTATTACAAGTGAATGAGATCATTTCTCAACCTGAACACAGTGCATTTTATTGTTGTTCTAGCTTTTAATCAACATGCTCATCTTGTAAGGCGTTTGGAAATTCAACACTACATTCTAAAAGGAACTAAGATTTTGTGATGCAGAATGCTAAACATAAGATCCAGTGTTCGATTTGTGTTCTGAGATTTTTTATTTGTCACCGTATTTGTAACAAGAGGGGACTTATAAGAGATAAGGGAAAGTGCCATCAGATTAATCATGTTCTGTCTCACACTCATTTGTAAACAACACATATCATTCATCTAAAATCTTAGTAACGATCAATATCCAAGTTCTCAATCTTTAGCTTTCACTCCCTGATCAGTTATGTTCTTGTATGAAACGCAAGGTCTTATAGAGAACTGCAAACAGATTTTTGAACTGCCTTTGCATGGTATCTAGAAGCAAGATCTCTAAGTTTCCAGCCAGAATCTGTCCTTGTGGTTCAATGTATAAGATTTCGGGTGAAAATTATTTGACTTCTATAACTGACTAATTTTTCATGCCAACTTTGCAGGTGGGATTGTAAATAACACACTCCGACCTCGTATTCCAGATCGTTGTGATCCCGAATGGAGGAAGTTGATGGAAGAGTGCTGGTCACCGGATCCAGCCGCGAGGCCATCATTCACAGAGATAACGAATAGGTTACGCGTAATGTCAATGGCGCTTCAAGCCAAGAGACAAAACCGGGCTAGAAGATGAGATGAAACATCTTAATGTAGATTGAAGGGAATTTTTTTTTGTTAATCAGAGAGAGAAGGTGAGGGAAAGAATACACAAACCAAGATGATAGTAGCATTGTACAGTAGTAATGTGAACTTAACTGATCTATTGACCTATTTGATCTTTGATATATTAGCCCTTTACATAAATAGCAAAAGGTGGCCACAAAAGATAAAACTAACAATTTAAGTAAATTGCGGACCATTTATTATCTTTATGTGTCACATCTTGTTTGTATTCTTAATTTTTAAGATACTTCCACTATTTTAAAATTATTGTCCACTTTGAGTTTTCATTTTAGTTCAATTTATACCTAAAAATAGAATTCAAAACTGGATAATAATTTTGGGATAGAGAGAGTAGTACATTGTAAGATTTATGTCGCGTCATTCAATGAAATCATACATGGGATTGTATCTAGCAGGGAAGGCAATGTGATTCACTTGTGAATTTATCATTCATTACCATTTTTTAAAATAGAGCGAATCACAGAATATGTCATTTTAACTATTGGATAATTTTATTATAGGTCATCAATCAAATTTATTTCCAAAATAGGCCACCATACTAAGCCAAAAATCCATCCGAGATTATTTTGTTAATTTTTGCCATTAAGTAGTGACGAAAAACTATTTTTCACATGTTTTTGGATTCAGGGGTATTTTTCACATGCTTTTTGGTTTAAGGGTATTTTTGTCATTTTATTTTTTATATTCTTTTAAGTGTTTTTTTTACCATTCTTCTTCTTATACTTCTTAACTTGTATATGTTGGTGGCAGTAAAATTAAATTTCAAAATTAATTTATCTTTTGTATTTTCTCTTCTAGAATATAAATTATTTTTAAAAAATAAAATAAATAAAAATAAAATTTTGAGTTGAAGTAATTATGAAAATTAATAGGTTACCATTTTAAACCAAAAAAAAAAAAGAAAACTAGAAGAATCAGCTAAGACAAGTCATCTTTTCTAGGGTATTTTGGGTGTTAAATTGTGACGAAAAGTTATTTTTCACATATTTTTGGGTTCAGATCATTTTGTATTTTTCTTAAAAATTTAAATTTAAATATATATATATATATATATATATATATATTACAATTCTTCTTCTTATACTTTTAACTTGTATTTGATGGTTCTAGTATAATCATTAAATCTCAAAAACTAATTTAACCTTTGTATTTTAATTTGACTAAATTCTAAAAATGTTCCTCTACATTAGGCCAAATGCACATTTTGGTCCTTTACATTAATATTTAGTTAAAATAGTTCTCTACATTTTAGAATGTAACCTTTTTGTTCCTTTGGCACTATTCATGCACTTTGACATGATTTAGTATCAAGTCAATAGGGGTATTTTTGGAATAAAATTATTTTATTTTGAAAAATCTTTTATATTGAATAAAATGTCAATATATATATATATATATTTAATTTTGGTGAGAATGTAAAAACTTTAATAAATCAAGCAAAGCACCCATCAAAGTCACTGCTTTACGGGCTTTCCTAATTGCTACTTTACTACTCTTTACAATGCATATGTACATTAACAGCTTATCCAAAACTTAGAAAGCTAACATCTACCAAAATTGCTGCATTATTCCTTTTTCAGCCATAGTCCAATATGTATTTTTTCCTCCCATAATCCTGGCTCTGACTTCATTCTTGATCAGTTGCACTAAGCAAGGCACTGTTCTGGAACTTCTAGCAAACAATTTTCTGTTTCTTTCCTCCCAAATGTGATACACACCTGCTGGTATCACAGCCAGGAAGATTCTTTTCTTTAACTTAGCCCCTTTCCACGTATGCAGCAACTGAGATTGCCATCTGCCAAATCTACAAGCCAATCTTCTATGGACCCGATGCACTTTTCGTACCCTAACTTTTGAGCGTAGCAAGATCAAGTCACTATTTATTTTCAATTGGTAAAAACAGTCCCCTAAAATATTTATCATCAATTTTGGTCAATTGAACAGAAATTTTTCAAATTTAACGGGTCAAACTTGTTGACCGTTAAATCTTTAATTTTTTATTAATTTCTTAAATAGTGGGGTCCACTAATTAGTTTATTTTTTTTCCTTTATATTAATTCTTTTTTTTTTTCTTTTTCATTTCTTTCCCCCTTTTCACTAATTTGACCGCCTGCGCCTTCACAATCCCCCACTGCCGCCGCTAAAACTCCCCTGCCCCCCTCACAATGCCACACTACCGCTAACCTCTCCTTCCAGCAATAAACAAGCCATTCAAATCCGGCGCCGGTGGCATCTTCTGCTTGGAGGCGATTTCTTCGTGGGAAAATCGGGCATAAGGGAAAAGGAATTTCTAGATCTAATTGATTTTTGATTGGGACTTTTTCCGATGAGTTTCAAGGAGGATTCCAAATGTGAGATGGTGACTGATGCACTCCATATATTTTGGAGGATCAGGAATCCCTGACTCTGTGACTCTGTACAATGATCAAAGGCCTAACCAATTCTTGATCAGCAAGGACAGAAAGTAGAAGATCGCGATTGATGATGGTGAATGATTGCAGTAGTCGACGAAGTGCTCTCCAATTGCAGCAGCAGAGTGATTGATGATGGTGTTGGCGACTGATGGAAGCAATCGGCGGCAGCAACGTAAGCGATCAGAAGATCGCGATGGACAGGGAAAAGAACAGAGCAGCGACAGCAATCCGGTCAGAGACAAGTTGGCAGGCAATTGAGCGCCGGAATTTTGATGAATTTCAGCCACCGCAGCAGTTGAAGACGAACAGGGAAAGAAATTGGTGGCGGTCGCAAGGAATTGGAACGCCTGATTGTATGAAGAACGCGATTGATGATGATGACAACAAGTGAAAGGATGGTCTTATGGTGGTGATCAGCAGCAACAGCGAACGGCGGCAACAACAGAGAATGCCGGACTTGAGGAAAGCTCGCCGGAAGTAGAGCGAATCAGTAACAGCAGCGGTTTAAGCGGCGAAGATGGAAGTGATTGAAGGGTTTTCTCAATTCTGCTGTCAAGCTTCGCTGTTGTTGTGGGTGCAGATAAACAACGCAGCAACCGGCGAACGAGAATCAATCGGCAGTAGCATGGAGTTGTTTTAGTTCCAAATTTCTCCCTCTAATCTTTATTATAAGGCTTTTTATTTCTTCTAAATTTCTTTTGTTATTTAAATTTTTGATTAATAACAATCGGGAATAAAAAAAGAAAAAGAAAAGTTTTCCTTCAATGTTGACTCCCAAACAGAAAATGAAAAATAACAGCAATAAAAGAAAGAAAGAAATTTAACTTGAAAAAAAGAAAACAAAAGGGAATTAAGGAAAAAATGATAAATTTGAAATTTTAGTAAAGAAAAAAATAAATGAAAATCTGTAGAGAAAATCAGTAAGTAATAGAAACAAAAATAAAAAAAAAGAAATTTCTTTAAAAGAAAAAGGGATTTTTGATATTTTTAGTTTTTGAGAAAAAAATTTAATAAAAAGAAATGAAAAAGGGAAAATAAAAAAGAAATTTTTTTTGGGTCAAACTAGTGGACCCCACTATTTAGGAAATTAATAAAAAATTAAAGATTTAACGGTGAACAAGTTTGACCCGTTAAGTTTGTAAAATTTCTGTTAAATTGACAAAAATTGATGAGAAAAATATTTTAGGGGTCTATTTTTATCAATTGAAAATTAATAGGGACTCGATCTTGCTACCCCCGATACCTAGGGTACGTAAAGTGCATTTTGTCCATCTTCTATTTACCATCTAGCATTGTAATTCAGATAACAACTGACAAGCAAAAGCACAAGCAAAAAAAGATGACAGACAGTCTCATCTTCCACTTGACACAGGATACAACTTTATTAGTTACTGGAATATTCAAATATATAAGTCTATCTCTTGTTAGCACTCTCTGTTTCTATACTAACCAGAAAATCACAGCATGTTTGGGTACATTTTGATGAGACCAAATACACCCAGCTCCATGCATTTTGTTACTCCCACCAATAAACTATTCAGAACCTGAGACCACTGTGTATTTTCCATTTGCACTTGCTTACCACCTGTTCCTGACGAAGCCTTCCTTTGCCTGATCTCGAATTTCTAATAACTGTTTCTAATGCCAGCTGCTATCAAGTTTTGACTGCACTTCCCACATGTTTGAGTTCTTTATATAAACAGAATGGATTCATTTGATCCATAAACGGTCATTCTTCATAGTCACACACCATACCTGCTTCAAAATTAATGCTTTATTCCAGACCTTTGCATCCCGAATTCCAAGTCCACAATCTACCTTTCTTCGACATACCTCTTCCCAGTTCACCAAAGCCATAGACCTCCCATTTGGTTTGATACCCCACAGGAAACATCTGCAAACTTTGTTTATATCATTAGTGACACTCTGTGAGAGAATGAAGATTGATCCCCAGTATCCATGCATTGCTATCAGTACTGAGTTGATCAGCTGCACCCTCCTTGCATATGACAGGTTGCGTGTGCTCCAGCATTTTATAAGTGCTACCACTTTACTTACTACTTCCTGGCAATCCATTTGGGACCATTTCTTGGGACGCAAGGAGACCCCCAATATTTCATTGGAAACCCCCCGACTCGAAAACTTGTGATCTTACATATAATGTCTTGTAGCTGACTATTAACACCCCCAAAAAACACTTCTGGTTTCTGAGCATTAGCTTTAAGGCCTGTAACCTGAGATAAATCTCTAAATACTCCCTAAATACTCTTTACAGTTTTTACATAAGCCTTACAAAAAACCATTAGGTCATCATCAAAACAGAGATTCGTCAACTTTAGTGCAGCACATTTCGGGTGGAACTTAAACCAGGACTGCTGAGCTATCATTTTGAAATTCCTAGTTAAGTACTCCATTACTAGTACAAAGAGGAGAGGGGAGATGGGATCACCCTTTCTCAGCCCTCGCTTCCCACGAAAAAAGCCCGTACAACTACCATTTAGGGATAAAGTATAAGAAAGAGTGGTAATACATGACATAAGCCACTTCTGAAAAAGTTCAGGAAACCCGTAACCTATCAGCATTTCATCTAAAAACTCCCACTCAACTGAATCATAAGCCTTATGAATATCAGTTTTCATCATCACTCTACCTGAAATCCTTTTTCTCCTATACAGTCTAATCAGTTCCTGAGTGATCAAAATATTGTACAAAATAAGTCTATTCTGCATAAAAGCACCTTGATTCTCATCAACAAGACTAGACAATACAGGTTTAAATCTATTACACATAATTTTAGAAATACACTTATACAAAATGTTGCAGCATGCTATAGGTCTAAATTGTGATGCATTCAAAGGTACAGATACTTTAGGAATAAAAGTCAAAACAAATTGAGGAAGTACTGACCTGTTTTAAAGAACTCCAGTACAACATTCGTTATATCCCCTTCCACTATACTCCAAGCTGATTTTGAAGAAACCAGCACCAAATCCATCCGGTCCCGGGTTTTTGTTGCCATGCATCTCCCAAAGTGCTGCCTTGACTTCTTTTTTATCCACTGGCTTGATCAACTTCAATTGCTGCTCAACATTTAGTTTAGCTCCATAACAGAATACATTGGGGTCTGCTTTCTCCCTTTTGGTATCTTGGCCCAGCTGCTTCTTAGTGTACTCAATAAAGTGTTCTTCAACCCATGCCCAATCATTCACTAACTCTCCTGTATCATCAACAATAGACCAAATCCTGTTTCTGAGATTCCCGACCTTCAATTTTGAGTAAAAGAAGGTAGTATTTTCATCCCCTGCAACTAGCCAATCTTCTTTAGCTTTCTGTTTCAAGAAACTTAGAGCTGTCTTGGCTGACTGAAGGGATTCCCCATACACCAGTCTTTCTTGCCACTGCACAATTTCATTTCCAGGCTAAACTGCCAGTTGTTCCTGTAACTCTTGAAGTATCAATTTATCTCTTTCTGCTTTCCGGACTATATCAGCAAAGTAATCCTTTTTGAGCTTTTTCAATGGTTTTTACAACCTTTTCAACTTCACACACACTTGGTACATATAGGTCCCCCTTACTGGTGCTTCCCAACTCCGTTGCACTATCTCCAAGAACTGGGGAGAGTAGCTCCACATGTTGAGAAACCTAAATGGTTTAGGTTTTGACACCATTGTTTCACTAATCTTGATCATTATGGGAGAATGGTCCGAAAAACCTTCATTCAATATAGTTGCTACAGAGTAAGGGTACGTGTCCACCCATTGTCCATTCACCATAGCCCGATCCAACTTGTAATAAATCCTATCATTTCCAATCTGGTTGTTACTCTAAGTGAAGACCTTACCTTGTTGCTTCATGTCAAAAACTTCACATTCATCGACACAAGCCTAGAATGCCTCTATTTCAGCTAATGTTATTGGTCTACCACCCAATTTCTCTTCTTATTTTAATACGTTATTAAAGTCCCCCAATAAAATCCATGGTCCTGCAATAGTCAGAGAAACAGTTTGAAGATCATCCCATAAAACCCCTCTTTCTTCTAAAGAATTACTGGAATAGATACCAGTAAATAAGTAGCTAGTAACTTCCATCCTGTTTAAGTCTTACCTGACAATGAAGCAACTGATCAGTTTTCTTTAATTTCTGCACTTCTACATTATCATCCCATAGTATTAAGATACTTCCTATTTGGCTTGAAGACAAGCTAGACAACCACTTCCATCCAGCCCAAGTTCTAGTCATTAGCTCCTCACACCTAACTTGAGTGAGTTTAGTTTCCACAATGCAACTTAGATTAATCTTTTGTGTCTGTAGTATTTGATATAACTCCTTTTGTTTATGGGGGGAATTTAGACCCCTGATATTCCATGATAAGATGCTACACATGGATACCAGGGTCATGTTGAACCACTCCCCTCCATGTTAGCCTCAATGTTATCAACCCCGACAAGTTACAACAGTTCCCCTTACTTCAATTCCCCTAATAATAGAGTAATCTACTTTATCCCCTTCTGATAGTTCTTTTATTTGGTAACTCTTTGCAGCTTTTAAATCCTTAACTACTGTATTGTTCTCCAGATTATCCACCATTCTCACCATTTTGCTACCATCAAGGATCGTTCTTGCTCCATTTCCAGTTTCTAATGCTCCTTCAAGGATATCTAACTGAGAAAGTATTTTGATCACTTCCTTAGGTTCCCTTCTTCCCACCTGCCTCCATTCAAAATTATTCTGTTTAACTGGTTTAACAGTTTGAGTAGGTTTAGAATTCCCCCTCCTGTATTGCTCAGACTTGTGTCCATATCCACTACAACAACCACACTTGGTAGGTAACTACTCATAAGTAATCTTCTGAACTCTGACTATCCCCTTTTCATCTTCAAACACAATCTTTTCAGGCACATCTCAGCTATTTCCATCTCAACTAAAACCCTCGCACTGAATTCGTGACTTACTAACAGTACAATCATCGGCCATTATGGGATAACCTACTGTACTAGTAATTTTATAACACACTCAGACCTCGTAATTATCTTCAAATCTAATTTCTTATTTTGGATAATTGGTAATTTATCATTGTAGAGAACTAGATTTACATAATAGGTTCTTTTTAAAAATAAAAAAAAAATAAAAATCATCTTGAGTTTCTTCAGAAAAAATAGTATTCAATGGATATTACTAATGTATCGAAGTGTAATTATGGAGGTTTTTTCATACCAAATAAATTAATAATGTAATTATTAACATTAAATTATTGAAAATAACTCCAAAATAAAATTAAAAATATATATTTAAAAAAACATAAGTTTTGATTTTGTTTTTAAAAAATACGACATTTTAAATTTCTTGAATTTAGTCTTCTTAATAAAATATTTTATTAAGAATAAAGCTAAATCTTGTGAAATTGTAAACAATTTTAGAAATTAGTAGTTTTAAAAAAGAACATAAGAAGATTTTTTTATTTTTTTTTAGGATACTAGTTCCCTACAATTTTATAAGTTAAAAAATTTTTCCAAAATAAGAAATTAGATTTG